TGGCACTCTATCACTTGAGCCACACCTCCACTTCTTGCTCTTTTGCTGGGTAACTGGAGATGAGAGTCTCACAAACTTCTACCTAAGTTGGCTTCCAGCCATAATCCTCAGATTTCAGCCTTCTGAGTAACTAGGATTTTAGGCATGAGCCACTGGTGCTTGGTCTTCAGGTTTTTGTCATCATACTATGATGCACTGCATGAATTGCATGAAGCCTTTGTCATTACTCTGACAAAATACCTAAGATAAGTCCAATCTAGGTTGAAGGTTTATTTTGACTCAGTTTTCATAGTCACTTAGCACTCTCAGTTTGGTCCTGTGACGAGGCAAAACATCATGGTGGAAGCACAAGCCAGAGGAGGACCTTTCGCCTGAAGGCATCTAGGGAGCAGAGGGGAAGGAAGGGGCAGGGTTTCAATATTCCCTTCAAGGGCAAGTCCTCAATGACCTAAGTTCCTCCCACTGGGCCCCACTTACCAAAGATTCTACCAACTCCAATAGAGCCACAGGCTGGAAACCAATGATCTCTATCTCATCCATTTGGGTTTGTATAAAGATCAAATCAGTCAATAAAAACTGATCCTAATCCTGAGCCACACAGCTCTTTGCAAGAGATACAGACAAAGCTGTGCTTTGCAGGATTGGCACAGGGTTAGCATACTATATTTAAAACAACTGGCAATGAGATGCAAACCATGATGATGATGCTACTGTAAATAGCTGATCAGTCCTGTGAGTGTCCAAACTTCCAAGGAAAAACCAGTTGAATGAGCGGCACAAAGCATGATCCTGCAGGTAGAGGCTACTAGGCCCCAGACTCTTTTTTTTGGGGGGGTCCGGTCCTGGGGCCTGAACTCTGGGCCTGGGCGCTGTCCCTCAGCTCTTCAGCTCAAGGCTAGCGCTCTGCCACTTTGAGCCACAGCGCCACTTCCGGCTTTTTTCTTTTTGTTTATGTGGTATTAAGGAATCAAACCCAGGGCCTCATGCATGCAAGGAAGCACTCTACCACTGAGCCACCTTCCCAGCCCCGGCCCCAGACTCTTGTCTCCCACCTCTCTCACAGCCCAATTCCTCCTCCAAGCAGAACACTCAGTCTTATTTTGCACTAAGCTGCTATTGTCTGGTCAGTTGCCAAGTGTGTGGGTCACACAGGGTCACCTGGGGGAATGAATTGCTCCCAACTTTTGTGTGGACTTTCCTTTAACTTTGAAAGCTAAGAAGTAAAGGCAAGAGCTGGAAAATAAAAATGTAAATCGAATCAAAACAATTCCAGAAGGAAAGCAAACGGAACATCTAAGCATCCAAAATAAAGGCTTTGAATTGCATGAAGGCTTTTAGTCCTGTTATTTACTCTTATAATCAGCTAGAAGTATCTGGTTTCTTAAGTCTCTAACCTACAACCAGCACCCCTTCTTGCCTACACCTTTGTAATTTGAAACCAGGCTTGGATGTGAGACTGGTGACCCAGAGTGCTCCAGTTTGTTCTTCTCTGTCACGTTCTGTTATGTAGCCCAGGGCACAGAGCTAGTTCATCAGCTTGATTTATAATCTGAAACCAGTCCGCATCTTACCTATCTGTTACTGACATTTACGTAACACAGGTCCTCAAAGGTGTGTACAGCTCACCTAGCCATACCTTTCTATTGTCCTTAACCACACTGGAGCACTTTATTTTGGTTTTAAATTCCCAAAAAGGTTTGAAAATTATGAGATTTTGGAGCTTTTGTGATTTCAGCTTTTTTGATTAGGGATGTTCAAGCCAGTAAAATCTACAAAAATATTTAGATATCTGAAAGACCCTATCATAAACACTTCTGGTCCCAATAATTTCAGATAAATGATATTGAACTTGTACTTACTTCAGAGATTCTTTCTGTACCATCATCATCTTCATCAGAAAAATACTTAAACAGAAAAATACTAAGGAGAAACTATTAATAAAACCATGTTTGTAGACTCCAGGCCTGAAGTCCAGTCATCCCAAGTTAGGCTAGCACTCATCCCCATATGGCAAATAAGACATGTTGAAATGTGGAGGAAGATTTATTACATGGCAGTCATAGGAAGACAGCACTTCAGTACATCTTCAGCCATCCTCAGGGATACAGATATTCACCTTAGGTTAAATAGGGAGAACTGGGGGAAAGGCATATGAAATGTATCTAGTTAAAAACAGTCTGGGGTGTGTGGCCTGATAGGCCACTATCTCTATCTTTGTCCTTGAAGGAGTTCTAGAAAAGTTATCATTTTATTATTACTGGAACAGAACAGGAACAAGGTGCTCTCCTAAACTTTGGCTATTTTCTTTAAGATGTTAAGAAGCCCAGGGTTGGTGGCTCCCGCCAATAATCCTATCTACTGGGGAGGCTGATGAGATCTGAGGATCAGATAGCAGGGCCAGGAAAGCCTAGAGACTCTTATCTCCAATTAACCACCAAAAAGTCATAAGTGGAGGTGTGGCTCAAGTGGTGGAGCACTAGCCTTGAGCAAAAAAAGGAACTGTGCCTAGGCCCTGAATTCAAGCCCCAGGACCATCACCAAAAAGAAAGAAAAAAAAAAGATAAGAAAGCATTGTCTGTTTGAGGGCCAGTTTGCCTTCCAAACAAGATGCCAGTGAGTCTGATCTTTCTTGGAGGCCAAGGTAATTAGAGCCTTATTAGAAAAAAATCTGCCAGGTGTAGTAAGAGTACTCACCAGAAATATAGAGGATCATAGTGTGAAGCCATGTGAAGCCAATTTGGGCAAAAAGTTAGTGAACTCCAATCTCAACAAACAAGCCAGGGATAGTAGGTACACACACATACACACACTACCTATAATCCCAGCACACACACACACACACACACACACACACACTACCTATAATCCCAGCCCTGCTAGAAATGTAGCAGGATGAATCGCAGTACTGGACAAAAATATATGAGTTCCTATCTCAAAAATAAACTAAATGGAAAAAGGACTGGAGATTTGGCACAAGTGGTAGAGTGCTTGCTTTGACCAAGTTCAGACCCTACTACTAAAAAAGTCTTGATAGCATTCCACTTTAATTTTCTCACAGGGCAGAAAAGCACATTTTTATAGCTGTATTGTAATCTACTATGTTTATAAGTCAGTGATTTATTCATTCGCCCTGTGTGTGTGTGTGTGTGTGTGTGTGTGTGTGTGTGTGTGTGTACTGGAGCTTGAACTCAGCATCATATGCTCTGGCTTATCTTTTTCCACTCAAGGCTGGTACTCTACTATTTGATCCACAGCTTCACTTCTGCTTTGGGGTTTTTTTTTGCGGGGGGGGGGGGGGGGTAATTGGAGATAAGAGTCTCTCAGATTTGTCTCCCTGGGCTGACTCTGGACCTCAGTCCTGAGATCCCAGAGCCCTGAGTAGCTAGGATTACAGGTAAGAGTCACTGGCATCTGGCTAATCTTTTCTTCAGGGCAAAAATTATTTGCATCTCTACCAGGCAGAATATGTAAATTTTCAGAGTCTCTGTTGATAATCTTGCATACGTTTAAGAAAATGCATCAATGCAATGGAATAAAAATGGGCCAGTCTTTGTTTTCATGAGTGCCTTTTCTGGCACTTGTTATTTTTACTTGGCCATCTAGTTTTCTCTAGTTCCAAATCTCTTTAAACAAACACCACTGAGGAAAACACTTTCTTCAGTGACCAGGAATGCCTGGCACAGACTAGAGACAGCCTTCCAAAGTTAGGCCTCAGGATTTGATTGCTCCTAGCCAAAGGTGCCCATGAAACAGGATTCATTAAAGGACCAAAATTCTAGAGGTCCTGTTCTGGGGAGTAAGAGCACTACCAGAAAGGGGTGCAAGTCCAGGAGTGCTGAAGTGGGGCTTTGCTGGGAGGAGGGCACAGCTCAGCTTGCTCTCTCTCTCTCTAAGACTCTGGCTTCTGGGCCTTTCCCTTAACTGGGCAGGCTCCACTGGTCCTTCTGTCCACTGGGGAAGGGCAGAGAGCACGCGATTGTGGCAACCACCTCTTGAAGATGACTCCTTGCCCAGAAAAAGGAAGGATGCCCAGTCACAGAGTTGGAAGCTCGGAGGACGACTAAAACTGGAAGCAGTGATACATCTAGGTTCACCTGCCCATGCCCCCCTTCCCTCCCCCCCCCCCCCCCCCCCCCCCCGCCACGCCACAATGTCCATGGCTCCTGAGAAGCTTTTAGAAAACAAAGTTTTAGGGTTCCCCGGTACCAAGGCGATGTGACGTCACTCCACTCACCAGGAGCACCAACTTGCCATTCATAAAGTTATCTCTAGACATTATCTTCCAGTTGAGATCAGCCGAGGTCCTACGCGGCCAGGAATGCGTCCCGGCTCGGAGCAGTTTTCCCACTAGCACTTCCTAAATTCTTGAGGCTCTCTGGGGGCGTCCGAGTCCTCAGAGACGCCCTCTCTGGGGAGCCCCCTTTCCCACCAGGATTAGGGGCCCGCTCCCCCGCGGGATGGCCGAGCTGCTGGCGCCCTCCACGCCGGCTTGGCACCGTCCGGTCCCTGTTGTCCGGCCCCGCTGCGTTCCGGACCTTGGCAGGACCAAGGCACGACCGGAATGCGAAGGAGGACGCGGGGCTGGGGCTCCGGATCCGGAGAGAACACGGGGGCGGGCCCGCCTGCCTCCCCCAGCCGCAGCCCAGCCCCACAATGGTGCGGGGGGGGGGGGGGGGGGGGGGAAACCTTGTGGAGCAGATAGGGCCAACCTTGCGGACCCCGCCCCGGGCGCCCCTCGCGGGCAGGGCCTGGTGGGGCGAGCGCTCCACCCGGACAAGTCTGGAGGATGGGAAACGGAAAGAGAAAAAAGTGTCCCCCGGGCGCGAGCCCGGGGCGCAGGGCCGCCCGCCCCGCCTTCCCTTCACGGCTTCGCGGCCCGTCACCCCCTTGCCGCCTGGGGGCCGCAAGGGGAGCGGCTGAGCGCGGCCCGGAGGCCCTGGACGAGGGCGGGGGCGAGCGAACGGGACCGCGGCGCAGGGGTGCGGGGCGGGAGGCGGGAAGGAGGCGGACGCGGCCCGGCCTCGACGTCGCCGCCCGCGATGGGAAGTACCTTATAAAGCCGCCGGCCGGCTGGGCCCTACCACTAATCGCAGTGCCGCCCGGAGCGCCGGCCGCGCGCGCAGACTCCCGGCAGCGCGCGCCGAGGCCGGGACAGGACTGGACAGACCCCGTCCGGGACAGGCCCCGGTCCATCCCTGCCAGAGACGCACGCACGCGTACGATCCCAGCCCCGCACCGCGCGGGTCCTGAGCCGACGCCGACTCCGGACGGACCCTCGCGGCCGTCCGCCCCCCTCCTCCGGCGCCGGCGCGCCTCCTGCCGGCGGGCGGCCGGACGGAGACCCGGGGCCGCGGGCGCCCGGGCGGCGGGGGCATGCCCGGCCCGCGGCATGGCCTCGGCGGTGTTTGAGGGCACGTCGCTGGTGAACATGTTCGTGCGCGGCTGCTGGGTGAACGGCATCCGCAGGCTCATCGTCAGCCGGCGCGGCGACGAGGAGGAGTTCTTCGAGATCCGCACCGAGTGGTCGGACCGCAGCGTGCTCTACCTGCACCGCAGCTTCTCGGACCTGAACCGCCTGTGCAAGCGGCTCCGCGACGCCTTCCCCGAGGACCGGCCGGAGCTGGCGCGCGCGCCGCTGCGACAAGGTGCGGGGGCGCGGGGGGGGGGGCGGTGCCCTGTGGCTTCTAAGTGCCTTGGAGTAGACGGAAAAGAATTCACTTAGACTGAGTCTTGTCGCTCCGGCTCCGCACGGGTCCCGGGACACTTAGACCAGGCGTCCCCCAGGCGGTGGTGTTAACCGGACAGGAGGCTCCGATCCACTCACGGGTGGCGAAGGAGGACGCGCGCCCCCATCGTCGCCAAGGGACACTTGGGGGCCGTCCCGTACTCAGCCCAGTCCCGGGTCTGGAGCGCCGGCTGCACCCCACCCTCCGCCGGCCCCCCTCGGAGGACCAGTTTGCGGCCGGAGGGGGCTTGGGGAACGTTTGGCCAGAGTTCCCGAGGGTCGGAATTGGGGTTGCGTGGGTTATGGCGACTGTCCCTGAGCCCTCCGCCCGGGAGGGGCCCCGCGACGGCTGACCAGGCTGGGTGCCACGCAGCGGCGCTTCCGCCCCTCCCCCGAGGGGGCCGCCCCGCCCGCGGCTGCGGCGGACAACCCGGGCTCCCCACCCCTGACATGGGCCGCATTTGGGTTTGATTAGCTGCGGCCACCTCCTCCCTGCCCTGGTGACTGCTCCTGGTTGGCGGAGACATGTTTTCAGAAACTGTGGCGCCTTCCCCATTTCCACACTGCCCGGGAGGGGGCAGGGAGAAAAAGTAAGCGGGATTGGAGTTGAGACGGGGTGGGGGCGGGGGGAGGAGGACAGCGGGGGCTGGGAGGGCTCCCTCCTCTCTCCTACCCCAGGTGACTGAGGATCAGTACTAGGGTGGATGGCTGCCTGCTTCTCTGTTCTTGGTCAGCTTTCCCCCTGGCGGTAGGCCTCGCCCCTCGGATGAATTACGTGGATGGATAATTAGCTCGGTTCTCATGACACATCCTGTGGCCCAGGCATCTTTTGGGAAGGTTCCCGAGCCGGTGGGTGTGAGGGCCTGAGGGTCTGCCTCCCAGGGTCTCCGGTGGTAGCTGTTCTCCAAGTACTCATCAAGGATCGCTTCCAGCGCCAGTGCTCTCCGGATTTGCTGTTTGCTACTTTTTTCGCAGTGGAACGATTGAATGCCCAAATCAGGAAAGCATTAGTTAGGGAGGGACAGTGTATTCAGCAGTCTTTTCTTCGTGAAGCGAGTTATGAACTGACTGGACTTCTGAGCGGCACTCCGGCCAGGTGTCCCAGGTCAGCTGTGACCTCAAGCACACACTTGGAATCTGGCTCTTCCCCTCTGATACAAGTTTCTGTTACTTGTGTTTTTGTAAAGCTTAGGATATGTGGGAGAGGGCAAAGCCATTTGTTCATCCTGTCAGCATCAGCTGCTTCCAGGCAGGGCTCTGGTCCAGGTGTGGTCTCAGAGGGGAGGGGAGGACTTTGCCTTGCCACGTACACCAGACTCTCTCTTCTGCACTCATGCACATTGGGCTGGGGTCAGTTCTGGGATGGGGGGGGGGGGTCCATGGACACAAGTCTCCAAAGAGTAAAATGTATAGGAAGAAAATATTTAGTGGGTAACTAGTATAGAGAAAAAGAAGGGGTATAATGAGAGTTGCCTTCAAGTCCCTAGAGGAGAACACAAATGAGATGGAGTAGACATGCTGATGGGCTGTCCAGGGTGGATAGGGTGAGGACCCAGGGCTTATAAGACTTTCTGACAGCCTGTTATGCACCTGTTAGAACCATTGTGTTGGGTGCTGGTGAGTCCTGTCTGGTGGAGGCCTCTTGAAAGTCTGATCTAGCTTTCCATGGAGGGGATCAAGAGGGACTGGGGAGACCAGAGGGAGACCCCAAGCTCTGTCTCCATGCTGGATCTTGGGTTTCTGCTTACAGGTGGGTCTACTCTTCATAGAACCAGCCAAGCTTTGTTGCATAATGCCCGTGAAGTCATTCTTTCACTGATCCTCCCCCCCCCCCCCCCCGCCCCCCCCCCCCCACACTTTATTTTTGGGCTGGTACTGGGGCTTGAACTATCAATTGACTTTTTCACTTAAAGCTGGTGCTCTACCATTTGAGTCATAACTCTACTATTAGCTTTTTGCTAGTTAATTGGAGGTAAGAGTCTCAGATTGTCTACCTGGGCTGGCTTCAGACTGAGATACTCAGATCTCAACAGTCTAAGTAGCTAGGATTATAGATATGAGCTATCATTGCCTGGAAACTCTGATTCTTCTAATTTAGAAAAATTATTGGCTACAGAATATATCTCATGGTAATACAAAAGCAGGTGCTACTTTATTTCCATGCAGATATATTATTTGCATAAAAAGATCATCTGAATTTGCAAAATATAAACACAAAAAGCAACCAGATGTTGTGTTGTCTTGACAGCACCAGTTTCTCTCAATTCAGATTTCCCATGTGTACTTACTGAAATTTCTTTTTTTTTTCCTTTTTTTAATTTAATTTTTTTTTTGTGAACACACTGTACAGAGGGGTTACAATTACATGGGCAGGATAATGCATACATTTCTTATCAAGCATTGCAGCCTCCTCCTTTGTTTACCCTTCACATCCCTTCCCAGCCTCCCCCCCCACCCCCCTTACTGAAATTTCTGAGCTGACTTAAATTTGTGCTCTCTGGTTTCATTAAAAAGTGTCATGAGGAAATCAGTGTCTGACTAGGTCCAAAGTTTCTGCTAATGTCAGATTGGTACTCTTGTTAGGTTCTGGTTGTGCATCATGCCTGCTAGCCTAGGCCCAACTTTACATTTCTGAATCATCATGCCACAAAAGCCATGCTGAACCCTTTTGTCTTGGTCCTTCAAGTACTGCCATGGGAGAGATGCTTACTATTGGCATAGAACTAGTCTTTTCTGTCTCTGCACACACACTGTAGTGTTATGCTTGGTGACTGTCCATGGGCTTCATATATGTCCTGGTGACATATAGCAAGAGTATTTAAATTGAAGTCTACAGGCATTGTGCTTTCCAGCTTATCTTCCTACCCATTCTGCTTGGCAGGGCAAAGCTGGGGGCAAAACTGGCCACAGGACTTGTATTGCATCTGTCCTGTATCTTTTTTTCTTGGAAACTTGGTCTCTCCTCAGACCTTAACCTGGCATCAGGCCTGGTAGCTTTCTGCCTGGATCTATCTCATAGGCTCACCTCTTTCTTTCTTGTCCTTAACTCTAGGGTATGGAGCTGATTGTTTCCTGGGAAAATTATCCCTAGCTTGCTAAAGTATTTCCCCTCTTGCTTTTTTGTACTCTTAATGCAGTCCCTTGTACTCAATACCTAATGAAGCTCAGGGTTTCCTGCCCAGACAATGGCTGAGGTCTCTTATTTACACCTCTTCCAGCTAGGAAAGCTTTGAGCTTTAAGGCTCAAACAGGATGCAGAATTTGTCTATTGACCCAATCTTTTTTCCCCCCAGTATCACCTGTTTGAGATCTGTGACGTCTGAGCTGGCCTGGTCACCCTGCTGCCACAGATCTTATTTCTTTTTTTTTTTTTTTTTTTTTTTTTTTAATTTAATTTTATTTTATTTGAGAACATACTGTACAGAGGGGTTACAATTACATGGGCAGGATAATGCATACATTTCTTACCAAGCATTGCAGCCGCCTCCTTTGTTTACCCTTCACCTCCCTTCCCAGCCTCCCCCCTCCCTCCCACCCAATCATACCCCCCCTCCCCCCCCCCCCCCCCCGACATTGTAAAGCTGGTTTTGACATGACATTTTGTACTTCTCATTGTTGCAACAGGTCCACCTGAATCCTTAAACGACTTGTTTGTCCCCATCTCCTCCACATGTTATACTGACATCAAATATAGTGAAAGCGGGGGTTACACTGTGGGGGAGGGACATACAAAGCAACAAAGAGATAATATTATAAATGCGTTAGAAACACATGCATGAAAGAAACAAAAACATTAAAATACATATTTGAGGTTTCGTTTTCCTAACATCACATTATTTGACTTTTTCCGCTTGACTAATACCTATACTAGATATTGCAAATAAGGGAAACCATGGGACCTATGTTTCTTTGGGCCTGGCTTACTTCACTTAATATAATTTTTTCCAAGCCTTTCCATTTCCTAACAAATGGGGAAATGTCATTCTTTCTGATGGAGGCATAGAATTCCATTGTGTATATATACCACACACAGATCTTATTTCTAAGTTGTCAGGTGATCTTTGATTCTTGGCAACTGTACAGTCAGTATCTTGGTTTTGCTTTCACTCGGCCTGTCACATATCTGCTCCATGCCTGTCATGTGCCCAAGGCATGTTGGCAGATGCTGGGGACAATGAAGTGAACAGACTGAAAAAGACTATATTTATTCTGGTTAGAAGAGATAAAAAATAAAAAGATAAACCATGATAAAAATATATTAGTGATAAACATTCAGAAGAAAAATATGTAAGTAAACCAAGAAAAGAGACTGTGATACTAGGTATAGGGGAAGAGTTTAGCTTTTAAACAGGACAGTCAGAGATGATCTCACTGACAAATGACTTGAGTGGATACTTGAGGGAAAGAAGGGAGCAAGAAGTTGATACCTGTGGAACAGCCTCTAACCAGTGCAAAGGCCTTGAGGCTGATGTGTTGCACTGGGTTTGTGTAGTGAAGAGGCCACTGTGGCTGGAGTGGAGAGGATAGGCCAGGCAGGTGCACCCTGGGCTCCTATTCCAAGGCAGCTTTTGTCACAAAAAGCTCTGAGCAAGGATTGATCACATCCAAGTTGAACTTCTCTCCAGTACTGAGAAAGATCAAAACAGAAAAAGGGGGGGGTAGAGTAACAGATGAGAGGTACTGGGACATTGGTTGGTGTGGAAGGGAGAGGACTGGAAAACACTGATGGACTAGAGGGCAGGTGTGGGGGAGAGGTTCAGGATGATCCCAAGATACGGGATTGCCACACCTGAAAATAGGACAGCTTCAGGAGGAGTTGTGTGGGAATAAGGTGGCTCTGGAGCTTGACTTAGAGTGTTTTTCTCCAAGTAAGGTCTGTGATGTGAACCGCCTAAGATGTGAGCCTGCATGTGGTGCTCA